CCAACTGGGCCTGACTAAGTGGCTTTAATTTCAAACTGTGATTGTTCATAACCATCTTTGTAAAGAACGCAGGAACTTTAGAATTACCTTAGAGAATTTGTTGAGAATCAACACCTTCTGAATATTCTCTAGATTTTCTATCCAGTGCTAATCAATGGAACTTTCTGAGATGATTAATATATTCTATACCTGCACTGTCCAATAAAGCCAACATGTAGCTACAGAAGTTATAGAATACTTAAAATCTGCCTCAGTCAACCCAGGGACCAAATTAAACAAACAAACAAAAACTAAAAAATTTTGGAGGTATATCGCTCAGACTAGTCTCAAAGCTATTAAGATCAATTGATTCTCCTACTTAAGCTTTACAAGGAGCTGGGACTACATGCTGGTACCACCATATATGGCTTTAGATTTTAAATTGTTTAATTTTAATTAATCTTAATTTAAATAGCAACACGTGGCTAGTGGATGCTGTATTGGATAGCATAGTTCTACACTTTTCTTTTTTGATGGAATTGCATCATAGAGTCATTGTTAGTCAGAGAAGGACCACAAGCCTGGGATCCTCTGAGTAGAATCAGAAGCAATGGAGGAATTAGGATAAAGGAAAGATTGTTTTGTTTTCTCTGTGGACAGAGTATTATATCTTAGACATCTAAAACAGAAAATTAAAACTTCTTGTTTGAAGTAAACTGAACACATGATCCAATAGTGAAGGCATAAATTTCCTTCATCTTTTGGCATGTACTCTGTTGCAGAAACAATGAAGATACAGAGTATATCTATATTTAGGTTTTGGAAGTATTTTATTCAGTTGATTTAATTTAAATTAATTTCCAATAGTTTTTAGAGGCTTCATAATAAAATGTGCTTTTTAAAGTACCTTATTTTTATTTAGGTTCTAAAAATATGAACCTTTAATCTGTTCAGCTCAAGACAAGGTAGATTTAAAAACACACTGCAGTCTAAACTTATTTTCCAGAATAATGAAAGGCCTTATGAAACTTTTTACTCCAAGAATTGTCATTTTAAATTCTTAGCAGGTCTGTCATTTAAATCAGGCACTATGCAGTTTTCCATCATATATATATATATATATATATATATATATATATATATATATATTCTCTTCTGCTTTGTGCTCTGCCTAGCTCCAGTTTTTATCTCATTCTCCAGTGCCCTCCTAAGCTCCTGCTTCTCACTGAAAATTGCCCAATTCATTTTAAAGATTAAAGATTTTTTTTAAATAAAGATGATCTAAAATTTGCAGAAAAGCTAAGCAGAATATCATAAACAATGCCATTGAGGCTATTTCCTGATGAATAAACACTGGTTATTTTTAGAGGCATTTGGATCTGTCAGCAGACAGATCACTAGTGGCAACACTCAGTGGCTTTGGGAACTGATTGGGATTTATAATAGAAAATGAGGGTAGGACAGCAGTGCTGGTGGGAAGAAAAAAAACATGCTCACCTTTCCTTTCTCTTATATCTTTTCATTTCTCTTTTCTCAATCTTGCTCCAAATTTAGAAGCAATATTAAAGTTGGGAGAGATAAAATGCAGATTTTTGCTGGTTTGTCACACTAGACTTGAGAGTCTTAACACAATTCTATAGACAGAAAATTGTTAGGATAAAATGATTTATTCTTTTTTTACTCCATAAGAATACTAAGTTCCAAGCTTATGCTGTCATATGTCTAATGAACTAAGTAATCTTTAATGACATTATAAAATCACTGAATTTCTCTAGATATAATCTATTTTATTAACAACGATTACTTAAGGCTGATCTAATTAGGGCTCATGTATATTGTGCCATACTTGTAAGGATTTTGGGAACCCATAAAAGGACATATCAAGATACTATGTGCTTTATCCAATCTAACATATCACTGTCAACATCACTGACAGAGCAGTTTTGCTATGTCAGGAAGTAATAAGGTATATGATTATAGTCATCATTACTTTGCTTTTATGTTATAATTAATTATGGCAGATTAGTGGCAAAAAGAAACAATTCTAAAATCAGTAAATAAAAGGTAATGGAAGCCAGGTGTGGTGGTACATGCCTGTAATCCCAGCAACTTGGGAGGTTGAGGCAGGAGGATCGGGAGTTCAAACCCATCCTCAGCAACTTAATGAGGCCCTGAGTAACTTGGTGAGATCCTGTCTTAATAAAATACAGAAGAACTAGTTTGTTGCTAAGAATGAATGTAAATCCGGCACATTCAGAGCAAGAAGTTCATCAGGAAATCTAAGTATGATTAGTCAGACTTACTAAACTTTTTTTTTTATTGTTTTTTTTTGGTGGTACTGGGGATTGAACCTAGGGGTGCCAACAACTGAACTACATATCTGGCCCTTTTTATTTATTCATTCATATATATATATATATTTATATATGATAGCAGAATGCATTACAATTCTTATTATACATATAGAGCAAAATTTTTCATGTCTCTGATTGTATACATAGCATATTCACACCAATTCGTGTCTTTATACCTATACTTTGATCATCACATTCCACCATCATTAATAACCTCATTCCCCCTCCTTTCCCCTCCAACCCCTCTGCCCTATCTAGAGTTTGTCGATTCCTCCCATGCTCCTGCTCCCTATCCCACTATGAATCAGCCTCCTCATATCAAAGAAAACATTTGGCATTTGTTTTTTTGGGGATTGGCTAATTTCACTTAGCATTATCTTCTCTAACTCCATCCATTTACTTGCAAATCTGGCCCTTTTTATTTTTTTAGACAGGGTCTCACTAACTTGCTAAGGGTGGCCGTGAACTTGAAATCTTCCTGCCTCAGTGTCCAAAGTCACTAGGATTGCAGGTGTGCACTGCTGTGCTCAGCTAACTAAACTATTTTTAAAAATTATTATATTGATACTACTGGACTAAGATAATTTGTTATGCAACATGTTATATTTCTAAATGTCTGCAAAATTGGTCATTTTATAGAATCAAAATATACTTTTTATGATAGCAGTCATTTATGTGTTATATGAATTTATGTTCTACATGTACTTTATACGTTATGCAAATTTATGTTTTTTTTTTTTAGAAAGAATTTTTTTAATATTTATTTTTTAGTATTTGGAGGACACAACATCTTTGTTTGTATGTGGTGCTGAGGATCGAACCGGGGCCGCACGCATGCCAGGCGAGCGCGCTACCGCTTGAGCCACATCCCCAGCCCCCAAATTTATGTTTTATAAGCTTTGATCTATGGAGAATTTTTATGTATCAAAAGAGAATATACATTTTTACTATTAAAGCTTAATATCAGGGCTGAAGATGTAGCTCAGTGGTAGAGTGCTTATCTAGCATGCATGAGGCTCTCGGGTGAATCCCTACTACTACAAAAAAGAAAAAAAAAATCCCCAAACCCTTAACATCAGTAAAATTTTAACAATGACTAAAAGCATTAAGCAATTTGTTTTTCAAATTGAATACTCCCCTGATTACATTTTGTCTTATATATCAATTGCCAGTTTGGGAAATCACAAAGTGAAACTTGAGATGACAAACAAAAAACTTGGAAATCCTTTTCTACATGACTCAACTCTATATTCACTAGAATATAGTAAAAAAAGGAACTACATTAGGGTTGGGGCTCAGTGGTAGAGTGCTTGTCTCACAAGTGTGAGGCTCTGGGTCCAATCCTCAGCACCACATAAAAATAAATAAATAAAGACATTGTGTTCATCTACAACTTAAAAATATATTTTTAAAAAAGGAACTACAGTTTTCCATAATTAAGTATTTTGAGATTTCCTATCCTGAAATAGTTCTTTCATGGGATCTTGAGAGAATATTTATACTACATACTTTATGAAGAAGAAGCTCTATTCTGGTTTCATCAAGTTCGGACATGAGTAAAATATATTACTTTGTTGCTTGATAATAAATATGCCGTTAGTATATTTAAGTAAGAGTTCCATCACAAGTTCATACACCTTTCTTTAAAGAAAAGTTTACTCTTTAAAGAGCTCAAAGTAAACTTATTAGTGTTATCCAGTCAATGTTCATGGCTTCTCTAGATAGTAGACAATACTGAGTATGCAAACAGAGTTCCTATTAAATTTAAAAAAATTATTATCATATTTCAACTTGCTATATATAGAACGTCTCATTCTAGGTAGTTCTGGTTCAATAAATATCATAATCATAAATGATTCATAACCTCAGTTAAATCTATCAATTAACCTGGGTTCATAGTGAAGCCAGTGTTTTCCAACAATTAATTGGACGATGGATATTATACAGATAAAAACATGGTCTTGACTGTTTTCTTAATTTTGCCAACAACAACCACATGGAGTTTTGAAATCTTGACAGTATAATGCTCCTAACAGGAAAACAGAATCAAGACCAGGAAATTAAAGCCAATTATCAATATTTTGCCTCAGAAAATTTACAACTATTTTATGTTAACTAAGATAAAGTGAGAGAAAAGATTCAAACAGGAAGTTCATATGAGCAGGATTTAAATTAATCAGTTCCTAACAACTGTTAAGTACAACCTTTTGGAAATTAATTTGCATAATGATAATCTACATGTGATAGGGCTGAAATTATTTAAGCGACATTATATTTCACTATTTAGTCTTGTTCCACCACTGCTTTAGCAGTGAATCCTTATGAAATGTAATGCAGCTAATGAGGTAGCTTTTTAACTGAACAAACTGACAGGCCCCATATCTGCAGAGGCAGCTTGAAACCGTGCCCAACCTCTTGGCTTCCCAAGAGGCTTTTCAAAATTCAATAAATAACATCTGTAGGCGATGTTGGGTGCAGACCTAGCAGAGTGCGTCATAACACTGTGCTGGCAGAACAAAGAAACCATGACGACTGCCAAGTTTCCATGGCAACTGCTGCGAGGCTCTGAGAGTATAATAGCACATCAATCACTGTCCAAAAGAACTTCATTATCAGCTAGAAAAAACCTTTAGGATCTGTTTAGTGTGCAATTGTGGGTTAACTCACCTCAAAGCCTTGCTCTCTAGCAAAAGTGGCAGCTTCCTGGAAAAAAAAAAAAAAAAGAGAACAGTTAATTATAAAGTGCTAGGTAATGAAGAAATAATCCATTTTGAAACTCATTCAGTCTTTTACACAATTATCTCAATATACCCACATAGTTCAATTTTTATTCTTACACCAAAAAAGATTTCTTTTTTTCTCTTGGCTATATATATATATAAGAGGTAGCATAATGTCAACACACTTCACAAGTTGGAATAAAGAAGATGTAGTGCATGTTTTTACAGTAGCTGCTACAGTGAGTTCAGGTGTTCTGACCTCAGCAAAGACAGACAATCATTTGAAACCTAAGGAACATACTTGGTGGTTACATTTTTAATTAAAACAATACCTCTCAGAAAGCTCTTTTGGAGAGAAACCTATCTGTTAATAAATATATAGATTCAGAAAAATCACCATTTTGCAATCCCCATGACGAAATTTAATAGACAAGGATCATTAATGGATGTTAAATTCACTGGGTGAAAGGATGACAGGAAATTGAGTCTTTACATGGAATCAAAGTATCAAAGATTATATTCTGTGGTCACAGGGAGCAAGGCATAACTTTAAAATGGAAGGATTAAGCTGTCATCACTTTAACCCAGTGATTGATCCTATCACTTATCATCACTAATAGTGGGATCACCAAATATTTTGTGCGTTCTGTAATGATGCAGTTTGAAGCTCATAGCATCACCTATAAAATATTCTGACCAAAGATTTTTCAAACAAATTAACCAAAACTTTAGTCCAATAACTTCAGTCTCTGAGAAATACACAGAAATAGGGAAACAAATCAAAGGATACACTGAGAAAGCAATGGACAAATCTATAAGGTAGGACATCCACAGGAAAACTAGCTTAATCCTTTTAACAGGCTGTGTCAATAATAAAGTGGTAAGAGGAAAATGAACAAGAGCAATATGTGGACCTTAATTGGACCCTGTTTTAAACAAACTAGCTGTAAAAAGTATTTTGGGGACAACTAGAAAAATTTTAATATAAAAAATGAGAATTAAATAATACTAAGAATTATCAGTTTGATAACAAAAATGTTCTTAATTTCTAGAGATTTATCCTGAAGTATTCAGGGATAAAATGTGATGAAATATGCAATTTACTTTACAATACATTGTAAAAAATAAAAACCCTAAGTGAAGCAAAATTGGCAAAATATTAACAACTGTGAAATCTAGATATATATGGCATGTGGAGGTTCAGGATAGCTATCTGTGTATTTGAAATTTCTCATAATATATGCCAATTTCCCTTTTATATAAGATGACAGGGTAGCCAAAGTCAAACACTTAAAACATGGTCAAAATATTTTAATATATGAAGTTCTTTTAATTATCTTAAGAACACATTAATGTATACCCTGATGGCTTTATAGCAGATTATCAAATAACAAAAACACATCTGTGTAACCAAATCCTTTCCCTTTTACCCTTTGATTTGTGCACATTTTAATTTTAGGACAGATAGAAAATGGAGGCAATATTACTTTTCAACTCTACTTCCCTCTTGAAAGCAGAAAGGAAAAAAAAATACTGCAGACAACTGTCAAGAGCCTCTACATCTTAACTTACATTCCTCCAAAATTATCTCTGCCAAGAGATATTAATAGAAGGATGGGATTTGAGCCTGAGTAGTGAGCAGATCCAACTCAACTTAAAACGACTGCTGCACCAAGCCATGTAAGGCAGAAAGTACAGTCAGTGTCTCCAGCACAAATTTGGGTACTACCTACATGTTGAGGAAAACACTGAGGAAAAAAATATCTTATGTATGCACTACTGGTCCAATATACTAATAACACATAGATTTAGAGACCCATTTTGAGGGTTTGAAATAATCAGAATGTGTGATTACAGCTGAAAACCGAAGTTAACAGAAAGTGATAAGCTGCAAGTACAACTCCTTAGGCAATTCATTGGAGTTGCTCAAGTCTGACCAAGTTAGCCTCAGCTGATTAAGACCACCCCATCCCTAAGACTAAATAATGATCTTGACAACTGGTTCAAGCAAGGCTAGCCTCTTGACAATTTACTTTCAACAGAACTTTGTATATTACAAAGTCAATAATATTTGCTGTCTGAGACAGCAAGGCAAAGGATAAAATATCAATATGTTTTCTAATCTGTCATAATTAACCAAACTGATTCTTATATGAAAAAGACAACTGAAAAGCTCTTCTAGAACTACTTGTTTATATGGAACCTCATCAGAGCCATGAAAAAATCCCAGAGGACTATAATCTAAAGTTAAAATGTAAAATCTGTAGAATTAAAATTGTACTAAGACATAAAGACTGAAAATTCAGTTTTTTAAATGTTCAGTTTTGCTAATATAATTTTAATTAGCAATTAACTATAATCTGATATGGTATAGTAGAATTGACTAGCTGCAAGAAGATAAAAATATAAATGTCAAATTATATTTTAAGAAAACTAAGCCCTAGGACATTTTCACATCTGTAAGTAAGTCCAAACACCAATATATTTCTGACTGAGGAAGAACACATTTAAGTAAAGCAAACTCAATTTTCTCTTAGTGCAACCTTGTACAAGTTTGTGGAGCTGTGCCCTATCACTAGAAAAGCTAAGCACTTGTTCTGTGGCTTGAAATGATCTTATCTTCTGACTTCCTCCCACCTTTCTTTGATCTTGGGCTGATGCCCCAACTCACTCCATTAGAGAAGGCAGCTGGCTCACACTAGTGCAGTCTTTCCCACAGCTAACCTCTGATCTGAAGGTGTTTGTAGATACAATGATGGAACAACATTTATTTTTCCCTTTCAGCAAAACAAACAAATCAACACAGGGGAACAGTTTGACCCAGTAAGCATTTTAAGCAGAATTTTTGTTTTTACTGTATGAAGGTACAGAAATAAAAGGCATTACATTAGAAAACAAGGAAGAAAGAATGGGCATAGATGGTGGGCAGAAGAGTAAGGCAGGTTCCAAATATCAGGGGTAATTCCAAGCGAACTGATCACATTAAATAGAAAAGGACTTTTTAGTGTGCCATCACAGTAAAAGTGAGAAAAGAAAACAAGCAAGTCCCCATCTGTGCTGCCCCAGGGCGCCTCGTACTGAGTTTCACAAATCTAATGAAGCAGTCAGGTTAAAATCCAACTGCAGAGTAGATGTGACATGTGGAGAACAGCTAGGGTTAGAATAGAGAAGCAGGGCGGTTCCTAATGCAGGTGATTATCCATGTGATAATCATTATATTTACAGGCTTTCCATTTTAGATCTGACATCAAAAATCACAAAGGAGGAGGGATTAAGGAAATAAACAACCAACACGGAGGCTTTCCTTCTCCCCTGAGAGTATAGCACTTTCATTCATGCATGACAAGCAACAAAAGCAAAACTAAACCAGCCAGGAAAGAGTATTTCTGAGAAGGCTGGATTTCACATTAACACTTCTTTCCATTTTGATAACTTTCACTATTATTCAGTTTCTCAGACAGGTCACATTTTCAGAATCAGTTCCCATTGTTGTCTATGCTATAATACAGTACCATTTTGGTTTACAATGAATGATACTCACATAATATGTCTTTTACAACAACAGAGTCATTTTTTCCTTCCTGGAATTGAGTGTTGTGAATAAAATGACATATAATTAAAGTCTTAGACACTCATCTACACCACACCACTTAGGATTTACAGTGGGCTTGCTGCTTCACCAACCAGGCTAAAAGGGTATGGATAAAATAACCATCATATATGGTTTTTGAGTTGAGATAAAAAAAAAGGCTGAAATTCGTGGTTAATGAAAACTATGGAATGCTTATATTAAGAGCTATTTAAAGGGATTAGCAAGCTGCTATTAAAAAGCACAATTCTCAAATTATACAGGAAGATGGAGAAACTCTAGTGCATGCTTGTGTATATGAAAGAACTATTTCCTTTATAATCATATGAGGAGAAAACTATTTCTTATTTTGTCTAATAATATCCAAGTTCTTATGTATAAAGTAAATTTATGACTGTAATTGATATTGGTTAAAAATCACTATTCAGACTTTAATTTTAATTCCAACTATTTGTAACTAATTATATAGAAATACAATTTCTATATACTGTCCTTATATCCTGAGACTGTCAAATTCACTTGTTAATAGTTGGAGGATTTAATTTAATTTTTTGGAAATTATTTGGGATTTCCTACATAGATGATTATGTGAGTAATCTGTATGAAAACAATTTTCAAATTCCTACTAACCATACCACAAAGATATTTTGAGAATTTAACAAATGCCTTTAAGACAAAAATTCTCCTTGCTCCAGGGTAATCAGAAGGGTATGACTAAGTACCACTACAATCAGCCCAAGACCCTGTCCTCCCACTTCCTGCTCATGCACTTCAAGACACCAAACCCAGTTTAGAACTATTATCTGTCTGCTTATGTTTCCATCCTGCTTTTTGATCTCAGACCAGAGGAGTCCTGGGTGTAGGCAGAAATTTCATGTACTGAAACAAAAGGGGAGAAGGTACAACTTAGAACCAGAGGAAGATAACTTGAACCTATCCGCAGAAAGTAACACACCCATCAAAAACAGAACTAGTATGTTGCTCCAGTGCAAGGAGTAAGCAGAATATTCTAGAGTTTGGTGGTCTGGTTCTCACTGGAAGTCCTCATCATCCTCACTTAAGTTGTGGGAGTTCAGAGCTTTGGGAGAAACCAAATAGATCAGTTTTGCTTTTTTATTTTGTTTGTTCATTTTTCCATCTGACAAATATTTACCCTCTAAATATAGTTTTAGGCTAAGAGCATCTGTTAGCTCAGAGGCATATCATACTACAGCTATTGCAGACCTTAAAATGATATTAAACTGATTCCATAGTATTTGAAAGAATACTGTAACTACTAAATGGTATGGTATAAATGACAGTTTAAGACAGAATGGTATCTCTCTGTCCCTCTATATATGTAGATCTATGTATAAAAATCTCCATATATATTAAAAATTCATATATTTGGAGAT